CTCTTGGCATCTACTTATGCAATCCACTAGAGACTGACCATTGTGCTAGACAGATCCTCAATCTCAACCAGAAGTATCTAACATCTCTGAAAAAGCTGACAATGTTAAACCAATCTTAAAAGCTCACTTTCCTTCCATAGGTTCAGCTGTCATTCAGCTAAGCTGGAGTACAGCTAGGCAAGTGGAAAACAAAAAGCGTAACAAAAACTTACAATGTGTTACAAGTCATCCCATTAATCTTCTACTAGCATAGATTTCATATGCTTAAGAGTCAAAGTTCTTCTTTCCTTGATCCTGCTCCTTTATGCAACGTGAACATACTGAAAACGAGGAAATATTTTGCAGAGATGCCAACATTTCAAATAGAAAATAAGACACACAACTGAAAGTTCATACAAACATAATTGTATAAAGATGATATCTTTTAAAATATATATTTTTTTTAAAAAAGCCATCCACACCATTATTCTTGCTATGAACAATTATTAAAAAACAAAGACCAGCACCACTAACTATTGAAAACATGTACATCTCCAGGGCTCTATTGCAATTATTTGGTTTTACAAATAAAAGATATAAGAAGATCAACACAGTAAATTGGTAAACATATCTTTCATGATACAACTTTTTACCTACTCTGCTACTTGAAACAAATATTAAATGATAACATAGGATCCAGAATTCCATATTTGGGCGTCTAAAGCAGAAACAAGTTCTGGTTTCCAGAATGTACTGTAACACTATAAAAATTAGGTACCTCTGATAGCTGTGTTCAGTCTCAAAATCTATACAAAACTTTTCAGCCAAAATTAAAATCATAATCACTATTTCTGTGTCTAAATGCACAAAACCAAAAGTGGCAGGAGCATTCTAAAATTCAGTTATAGCAGCTACTGAAAAAGCAGATATAGAGGAAAAAGTGTTATCCCATGAAAACAGGTTGGAATCAGTTTGAACTAAGATTGAGATAAGCCTGCAGGTACTTAAACTAGAAATGGAAGCCACTGAAAATACAGTTAAAATGCATTAGTGAAGAGCACTGCCACACTAAGAGCTCCATATAGCACTTTCCCTAATTTGAATCAGGTTTGCTGCCTCTTTTGCTTGCTACAAGCACCTAGCTGGCAATCGCTTCCTCAGGAAGCTCAAAATTCAGAGAAAACTGAGGGCAAAAGACCATTGAAGAAGTATAAATTCGAGAGTTTTTGTTTGTTTGTTTGTTTTTGTTTTATTTTTAAACTCCTCCTTCTTCAATCCATACTGCTACAAAGTCTTCCAAGTTGGAAGAACTACTCTGGGTAATTAATCTGCAATACACAAATCTTCCCCATAAATTCCTATCTCACTTTCAAGTTCCCATGAAATCTTCTGACATGGGTTGCAACACAGCCATAAATTTTAGATTTAATGTCTTTCAACACACAAAATGGAGGAAATATCGATTTAATACTAATATATGATTCATTAAAAGAATGATTCAGTTGCCATCCCTTTCTAAGATGCTGCAGAGCCCCATCTGCTGGTAGAAGTGTTACTCAGGAGTATTACGCCCCAGAGCTGATACGTGATTTTTCCCAACAGCACCAGTTGATAACTGCTTTGTTTCTTTTATATGCATCCATAGACAAACACACACATACAGAAAAATCCATAATTAAAAATACTTTTAATGAAAAAATATAGAAGCCTTTGAAAATGTGCATTCCTTCCTAAATACTAAGAATTTACACAAACAGCTTCAGATTACCTTTCCCAACACTAGCTTATTTTCTTCGATCAACAGAGACTGACAACATCAACTCATTTTTCACAAACATTCTAGTATGACTTAAAGTCATTCATAAAGAAGATGGCAAAGTGCACACTGGTTAAAGCAGGAGAACAAAATAAGACAACTTATCTTCCCCAGTTTCAGGTAAACTTCAGGTATCATAGAATGGCCTGGGTTGAAAAGGACCACAATCAAGTTTCAACTCCCCTGTTATGTGCAGGGTCGCCAACCACCAGACCAGGCTGCCCAGAGCCACATCCAGCCTGGCCTTGAATGCCTCCAGGGATGGGGCATCCACAACCTCCCTGGGCAACCTGTTCCAGTGCATCACCACCATCTCTGTGAAAAAATCCCCTTTTTTAAATGCAGCCCAGAACACAGTTGGCCTTCTAGGCTGCAAGTGCACACTGCTGGCTCATGTCCAGCTTCTCGTGCAGCCAGACCCCCAATTCCTTCTTCACAGGGCTGCTCTCAAGATCTGCCCCTAGTTTGTATAAATACCCAGGATTGCCCCAGCTCAAGTGCAACACCCTTCACTTGGCCTTATTGAACCACAAATATATATTTGAGATAAATTCTTGTGTGGTATGGAATATAAAACATACAATGGTGATTTATTTATGATTGTTTAGATTGGAATAAAGAGACTGAGATTTCTAGCTTAAGGCAACTAATTCCAAGTATTTCTTTTTTCTTCATTAAAAAAAAAAAAAATCCTTTCCCAAAAGGGGAAATTCTTAGTTTGTGATAAAACATTTAAGAGGGAAATACTTAGAAGAACAAAAAAGATGCATAATGGTTTGGCTAAATTAAAGAAAAAATGCGAATGGCTGCAGATCTTCTGATTTAATCAAAACTAAAAAACTGCCCTGCAATAGCAGTTTGATCTGCAAGACAGAACTCTCAGATCTGAAAAATCTCCACTGATACTGGGGTGATACCTTCAAACAATACATATCTTGCTGCATAGATTGAAGGACTGAATCAAAGAAATTTACATACAAATATTCATTTCTAAGTATTCATGATAAACTGAACGTGCATAGTTTTGTGGCTCTGGATTATACAGAGATTTTAGGCTTCTAACTGTGTTTTGAGTCTTACCCAAATCAGATGGTCAAAGTAAATACTGCAGATATCCTGAATGTCTGTTACCATGAATATTCCCATTAAAAAGAAAGAGGAAAGAGCTTCTGCTGCCTGGATTTCAACTATAAATTCTAAGAAGGTGTTTTTTTTTGGAAGAAAACAGCAAAGGAAAAGCTGAAGGAAGGTACAGGATTGGGAAAGAAAAAAAAAGGTACATCTACATCTGCTTTCAATTGTTTGTTTTATGCTTACATCAGTAAATAGACAACTCCAGGCAGTGGTGGAGAGCCAAAAAATTCCCAGAAGAGAAATTATTACTGTTGTAGTCCTTAGAGATTTGTGGGCTCATGACCCTAGAAAGTTAGAGAGATTAGCTGCATTACATCAAGACAATGCTTGATCTGACTGTGCCCTCTACTGGCTTGAAAGGTAAAGACACTACAGCTCATACCATCAGTCTTCAAACTCATTAAGGGAAAAACAAAAAAAACCACCCAATAAAAATCATTTCCAGACATTCCTCTGCAGACTACCTTTCAAAATACTGAAGTGCATTTTAATAGGCTTCATAACAGCTACGCTGTCACTTAAGTAATGTTCTACGCTCCTATAGCCTGAAGTGTTACCAATATTAACACACTCCATGTAAACTGAATTCTCATGGTTCAGGGCACATACAGCAAATCCATTCCTTTGACAATCAGCTTTACTTTTAAATACTGCTTCCAATCAAGGTTGGTAGCACCAACCCTTCTACCTAATTAGAAGAAAACCAACAGACTATTATTCATATTGTTTAATAATTTTACATAGCAATGACAACCTTTTTTTTTTTTTTTTTTTTTTAAAAGATTGTTTTACCAAGTTTAGTACATCCACAATTACATTCACTCAACACTATAATAAGGCTTAGGGGCAGTAAACAAATACTAAATAAGTGGTAGGACAGTTTAAGACAAAGTCAAATTTAGACATACTTAAGTCAAAGGCAGATACAATTTTGTACAACACAAATATACATTGCTGCTCACCAAAAGAAAAAAAAAACATCAGCACTTTTTGTATATCTTAGTATTTTCCTTTTAAGGCTGTTTATCAGATAGCAAACAAGATTTAAATTATTCAGTACTTTAAGCAAGACCTGTTAGAAGAAAAATTACCTTTATTTTTCTAGAGCTGTGTCTAAGACTGAAGAACACCACTGCTTCAAAGATATGAGATCAGCATCTACTTCACATGCCCCCATGGCAAATTCAGGGGAATGAAAAAGAAAACAAACAATCCTATAAATATATATATATGTACGTAAAAGTCAAGCTAAATGACACTAAGTTATCTACCACAAATAAAACAGTGAAAAAGCAAAGAAAACTCAATTTTAGTGAGAATTTTGGGGAAAGAAGTAGAAGGAAATGCACTCTAACATGAAATCAGAATTTAAACTAAATTTTAGAGTTATTTCCTCTCATTTTAGAAATACGCTGATACAAAAGCTGTTCTTCACCTTCTCTACTTACTAAGATTTATTTAAAACCCCTGAATTTGAGAAAAAAAGTTTCAGGGAGTAGCATAGAGATGTGAGAGGGGAGGGTCAGGTTGGGTGTTAGGAAAAACTTCTTCACCAGAGGGTGGTGAGCACAGAACAGGCTCTGCTGGGGCCACAGTTGTGCCCTGAGTTGCCAGAGTTCAGGAAGCATTTGGGCAATGCTCTCAGACATAGGACTTGGACTCTGTGTGGTCTTTTGTGGAACCAGAAGTAGGACTCCTTACAGGTCCATTCCAACTCAGGATATTCTATGATTATGAAAGGAAGACTTACTGTATTGACTAAGTGAACTAAGAATTGAAATCAAAGTCATAAAAGTTAGAAGGAAAATACACTAAGTATTAAATATTCAAAAATGAAAGAAACTTAGAGTGAAAAGCCTCCTCAGACCACAGTAGGACAGATATATATAAGACCCAGGAGAGTACCTGTAGTAGCAGTCACTTATGCCTGATACTGAAAAGCATCTCCTCCCACTCTGAACACGTTATAACTGCCAAACACATGAGCAAACATTATTCCCAGAAAACCATTACTTAATACAGTATTTTCAAGCCCACTGATAAGTTCAAAAAGCATCTTGTTTTACATTACCTTTATTGTTTTATCCATAGAAGCTGAGAGAAGCATATGACTTTGTTCTCGTACAGTACACCACTGGATTGCATTAACAGGGCCGCTGTGTTTAGACATACGAAATATTAAGCTTTTTGGAACTTCAGTTAATTTATACCTGGATCCTAAATATGGCTTAATTAATTCAGATATCTTTCTCACTGTCTGCTCTCCTGATATGTCTAGCTTCACATCACAACTGGTGCTCTCACTTTGATCAGACTCCTTTTTTTCACAGGCACTGGAATTTTCTTGACGTAACCTTTTAGGGATATATGGTCTGATTCCTTTTGGGGCAGTTGGACTATCTTCATGTGTTCTCTTCTGGGAAGCACCATTTCCAGAGTTTCTTGAAGAGCTCAATGTCTGTTCATAGTTTTTGTAGAACATACATAATGCAGTAGGACTAGAGGACGCTCTCCTACAATAAGATGTCAAATCACTGTTATTATTCAGTGCATAACGCTCAGGGGGATCTTCACAAACAACGCTCATGTCAAAATTGCCAGTGTTCTCAGTAAGCTGCGTTTCATATGTAGATTTTGTATTCAAAATACCAGGTGCAAAGTGCTGAACAGGATTTGCAGAAGAACTCGGAAGGCTTGCTTGTCTGCTAGTACTGAGATCATCAGCTTTTTCAGTTTCTGCCTCAGGGTCTGAATCATCATAAGCAACCAGTGAGGAACTCATTATGGCTGGATACAGCAGACTCCAGAAATCTCGTGCTGGAATCCTCCAAATGATGATCTACAACAAAGAATTGACCATTCAGAGCACAATTCATTATGGACCCTACAGTTTCAATAACTTAAGTTCTTAAAATCCTTAACTGTTTAATTCCTGTTTATTCCTGGAATTTATTTTTCTATTATAGCACATATGTACATTCAATTATGCAACATAATGTGCCTCTAAGCACTTTGCATACATTTTTTATGCTTTGCAGAGATACATTTGTATGAGACAAAACTATGAAAATGAGTATGGAAAGAAAAACAAACTACAGCAAATCACTCTCCCCTTGCTTGCAATAGCATTCCCTCCCCCTTGCACACAAACCAAAGGCTAATGTAACTATGCAGCATTTTAGGATATTCATTTATAAGAATATGAATAGAAGTACTTTGGAATGAGACTAACAGTATTTATTTCTTTCAAATCATCTGTGTTGTTATGTGTGAAGGGATTCAATTGGCAACAAAAATAAAATGTAGACTGCTCTAAAAGTAATGCTATATTATATTGGTCCATAACATGAGAGTTGGATGCTGGCAGCAGAGGCTCAACCTTCCCACCAATATCCCACTGCATTTTGTTGTTGTGCAACAGATGGCAGCAGAGGAGCAGTCTGACACAATGGCATTTGACGTGAAAGTGTGTATGAAGCAAAAGTGCATCACTGAATCCTTTCAAGTGGATAAAATGGCACCCACTGATACTCGCTGATGCTCGCTGAATGTTTAAGGAGACCAAACAGTGGATTGAGCACAGTGAGGTGCTGGGTGATGCATTTCAGCAGTGGAGGCAGTGACAGTGACCTCCACTGGCGCAGATTTTAACTGTGCAGCATGCAGGCTCTTGCTCACAGCTGGCAAAAATGCGTAGCTAATGGTGGTGACTATATTGGAAAAGGCTGTTTTGTAGCTGAGAATTTGTAAGTTCCACACAGCCTGTAGTTTTACATAAGACACATGCCAGAAGCTACATGAAACTCAGTGTTTGCTTTTACTTACAGAGAGTAAAAGCATGAATATCTCCGCTTACTGTGGAACAAACTTTTTCCAAAGCTTCTATGAAAAGAATTCCCACACTGAGACCACATATATAACAAGCTGAATAATTTAATATTGTAACAATCCCAAAAAACCTATTCCCAAAAATTTCAGTGGCGCACATGGAGTATAGATTTAATTGCATTCAAACAACCGACATTTCCACAAAAAGTAATCTTCAAAACTCTAGTCTTTACAATCAAAAAGTAGTGTTATCTTCCAATTGCTAAGATTAATGAGGTGACACACTATCTCTGCTTTGTTTTCTTATTCAGACATTACTGCTCATCATGCTACAACTATTTAGCCTACAACACTTCGCTTTCAGACAAGACGCTATACTCAAAACCTCCTTGATTATAATGAGAATGCAATGCTCCTGAATGTCAGCATCTACAAAAGCATTTGCAGAGCTGATGCCACAAATGAGAGTCCTACAAATACTGCTGCAGTAGTACACTGCAACTTGTAAGAATTCCCCATTTAACTTTTCAAACTAAAACAAGCATGCTTCCATTAACCTAAAGAATTAACCACAGGCTATGGTCTGCATTCTGTAACACTTACAAGCAACATCCAGAAAACACGTTCCTATTAAGGCATACATATATATCATTGTATATATTTCTATATATAAGTATCCAATTCCTCTCAAATGATCAAGGTGCTAAACTGAAACAGTATGACCAACATTTTAGTTTATAAAAGCATCAAGATCCCCCTCTAGAGGACTCTTTTGAAAACAGTAAGACACCTTCATTCCAAACCTGCCATTAAATAAATAGTTACATTAAAGGACTGCATTTTGCAACAGTTACACTAAGCGGTTACTTTTTGTATTGCAAAGTTGCAAACAGGCTCCCATCAGGATTTCTGGTTTTTAAAGAGCAAACACAGCGAGAAGATGACCTCTGCCTCAAAGCTATAAAAGAAGATATACAAGTAGAGTGGATTAGGCTTTCACTTTATTTAAACAAACAAAACCAACAAAGGACAACAACAACAACAAAAAAACACCATTAAGCTGAGGTTCTGAGGCAACTACAGGAATCACAAAATCACAGAATTGTAGGGGTTGGAAGGGACCTCCAAAGATCATCGAGTCCAATCCCCTGCCAAAGCAGGTTCCCTACAGCAGCTCGCACAAGAAGGTGTCCAGGCAGGTCTTGAATATCCCAGAGAAGGAGACTCCACAACCTCCCTGGGCAGCCTGTTCCAGTGCTCCGTCACCCTCACTGTAAAGAAGTTCTTATGCACATCTGTGCAGAACTTCCTATGCTGCAGTTTCTGGCCGTTTCCCCTTGTCCTGTCTCCACTCACCACTGAAAACAGTCTGGCCTCGCCACTCTGCTCCCCGCACCTTGGATATTTGTAGACCTGGATCAGGTCCCCTCTCAGTCTTCTTTTCTCAAGGCTGAACAGACCCCGTTCACTCAGCCTTTCTTCATAGGAGAGATGCTCCAGGCCCTTCACCATCTTTGTGACCCTCTGCTGCATTCTTTCCAAGAGATCCCTGTCTTTTTTGTACTGGGGAGCCCAGAACTGGACACAGTACTCCAGATGAGACCTGACCAGGGCAGAGCAGAGGAGGATGATCACCTCCCTCGACCTGCTGGCCATGCTCTTTTTAATGCACCCCAGAATGCCATTGGCCCTCTTGGCCACAAGGGCACACTGCTGGCTCATGGCCAACCTGTCATCCACCAGGACACCCAGGTCCCTCTCCACAGAGCTCCTCTCCAGCAGCTCATCCCCCAACCTATACTGGTGCATGCAATTATTCCTTCCTAGATGCAAGACTCTACACTTGCTTTTGTTAAACCTCATCTGGACATTTCCTTGTATTTAGAATCACAGAATTGTTTGGGTAGTAAGAAACCTTAAAGCCCATCCAGTTCCAACTCCCTGCTATGAGCTGGCTGCCCCCACCAGGTCAGGCTGCCCAGCGCCCTATCCAGCCTGGCCGTGGGCACCTCCAGCTCTTTGGGCAGCAGCTCTACAGCACCACCATTCTCCCAGTGAAAAAATTCTCCCTAACATCTAACCAATATCTCCCCTCTCTTAGGGGAGATTTCCCATTGCCCTATCACCTTCAACCAGTGTAAAAAGTTGATTTCCCTCCTGTTTAAAAGCTCCTTTTAAGCACTAGAAAGCCACAGTGAGGTCTCCCCAGGGCCTTCTCTTCTTCAGACTGAAGAAACCCAATCCCTTAAGCTTCCTTAGAGGAGAGGAGCTGCAGCCCCCTGAGACAGGATTTCCAGATTAAAAATAAAATAAAATAAAATAATAAAATAAAATAAAATGGAAAAAAGGAAAGGGGAAAAAAGGAAAGGGCAAAAAGGAAAGGGCAAAAAGGAAAGGGCAAAAAGGAAAGGGAAAGGAAATCCTTTCCCATGGGATATTGGAAAAATCACGTGTCACCAAACAACACGAATAACACCCGTAAGCCTCAGCACTCTTGTAAAAGCAAGGTATCTCTGTCATTCTAAGTCTTCCCACTCAGCTCTTGTTCCCAAAGAAAAAAACACCAGCCAGATGTTCCCTATGTCGCTCCAAGAAAAACGTCACAGCACAGCACCCACACCTTAGCAAGCTTGTTAACCTTATCAACATCCAATTCACAGCGAGCTGAGCTAACACGGAAACTGACGCTTCCGCAGAGCTTTCAGATTTTTTATTACGCCAACGAGCCCGAGCACCGCACGCACACACGCTGGCCAGTGAGCACCCGTCCCCACACGGCTAGAGATGCCGCGAGCAGCGCTGAGGGCGGCACAGTCAGGGAGGCACAGCCACCTCACCCCTCTCCCCAGCCCTCCCAGGCTCGCCACCCCAGCCTGCAGCCACCCCTCACCCGCCACCACCTGAGAGGCGCCGGAAGTCTCTCCGCTGCGACAGCCCCTCTTTAAAATGGCGCCGGGTGGAAACCAGCACCGCCACACATCGCCCCCTCAACTCCTGCTGGGACAGCGCGGTGGGAGGGAAGAGCTTGGATCGGGACTCACTGGGTGCTCATGAGGGCATCTTTCGATGCGGGTCCTCCGTGGGGGTGCGAGGCGAAACTGATTTTTACGGGGGAACTGGAGGTGCGGAGCGATGGTTCCGCTCAGCTCGCGTTTCCCACCCGGAGCAGGACATAGAGCGCCGAGCGCGGTGATGCAATGGCTGTGGCAGCAGAGCTCTGAGCGGGTGAGCAGCGGGGCCGCGTGGAGCCGGGCGCCTAGAGATCACGGCCAAGGGCAGCGGAGGGGCCGCTCAGAGGGTACCGCTCCGGGCTTCTCCTCCTCTGGGCGAGCGGTGCTGCGAGGTCTCCGTTTGGCAGCCCTTTCCTAGGAAGCGGTGTCTGGGAGATGGGTGGGGGCTCAAATGGTACGGAACGCTGACAAGCTAGGATGTTGCACTGTCATCTCAGGGACTCGTCTTGCACACCTTCACCGTGATTTCACACTTGAATTGATGATCATTATGACTGTGATGACGGTTCCGTAAAACACATCCTGGTTGTAGTGCTTCCCTAGGCGCGTTTCCATTGATGTCTACGTACATGCTGCGTGCTTTAATTTATCTTTTCATTTTTTGCTTTCTCAACTTACCAAGTCAGTCCATTCTCAAGTTTCCATCTATGAATTTTTTCCTTCAACTGTGTTTAGGGAAAGTATGTGATGTCTTCGAGCTTTCCTTCCTTTCCTGACAGCTTTCCTTATGTAATACATTTTGTAACATGCATTTTGCTAAATTGTAGAATATCCTGCTTACGAGGCTGGATAGTAACAGGACAAGGGGGAATGGTTTCAAAGTAAGTCAGGAGAGGTTTAGATTAGATACGAGGAGGAAGTTTTTCCACACAGAGGGTGGTGACGCACTGGAACAGGTTGCCCAGGAAGGTTGTGGATGCCGCATCCCTGGAGGCATTCAAGGCCAGGCTGGATGTGGCTCTGGGCAGCCTGGTCTGGTGGTTGGTGACCCTGCACATAGCAGGGGGGGGTTGAAACTAGATAAGCATTGTGGTCCTTTTCAACCCAGGCCATTCTATGATTCTATGAATATCCAGTTGTTTGTTTGTTGTTTTTTTAAAGGTCAGAATTGCATTTATGTATTTCAAAAGCTGGTAAAGACCCATGTCCCAAATCACTGAATGCCTGGCTTAAGTTTCACCAGCAAAGAAGGACAGTACTGACGCAACCGGAAATAAGCTTTCAGTAGCATTCAATTTTTTCTCTATCTTTTTTATTTCCATCCTATTTTTACTCAGCTTATTCCCATCTTATTAAAGAGTCTTTCTGTTTTATAATTCTCCAGTTTCTGCACTCAGTCTCAGCCATATTTCAGCCTTTCTGAAAGGAGGCAATCCATCAGTAGGTACATTAAAGAATTAAGGTAAAACAACTTGTTTTACGCCAAAGAATAAATCTTGTTTACATTTTCCTATTTTGCAGTGTTTGAAAATGGCAGATTTCAATGTTTTCAACGTGAATTTACCCCATATGCTTTCTTTTCCAGTTAAATATCTCATGCTCACAAAAAACAGAAAAACCTGCTATTGAAAGAAAAGAATGTAAGTAAACCGTAGGCCTTTGTCATTTAATTACTTAAGATCTATTATGCTGCCTCTTTAAAATAATGCTGTCGAACTATGCATAATCAAACTTGAAGGGATCTAAATTAAGCATCTAAGGATCACACATAATACATTAGTATTAGCAGTCACTTTTATTTTAGTCCTTTCTGTAATGTAAGTATGGTGTCAGCATTAATAGACCAAAATAGAAAGCAATGCGTGTATTTCTCAGTCTTTTCAGAGTACTTTGCTGAAATCTGGGAATATTACAGCTGTCTAACAAGCAAAGCCGTAATGAAAGATATATTTAGTTAGTGATAGATATGGAGGACTTGATAAATTAAAAACAAAAGTTTTCTAGGCGAGTGAAGGTTTTTTTGTTTGTTTTAAACAGTGGCAGTTCAAATATGCTATATAAATATATCCAAGGTTATGATTAGACTGGTTATTTTGTAGAAGGAATGCTTTCAACTTTTGTTTATTGGCTAATTCAACTATTAGGTGCTTTTTTCATTTTTAATTCTGGGAAAAGGAGACAAATACATGTGAAGCTTTATTGTAAACAGCTTTTATAATTTATTCCAATTAAATATATACCTTGTACACTCAGTCTATTCACACTGCATGCTTAGCGGCAGGACAGCTTACCAGGAGAGTACTGAGGTGCTAGAACAGGCTGCCTGGTGATGTTGGGGATCACCATCTCTGGAGGTATTCAAAGCCAGGTAGGATGGGGCCTGGGCAGCCTGGTCTAGTATTAGACATAAAGGTTGGCAGCTCTGCCTACAGCTGGGAGGTTGGAGCTTGATGACCCTTAGGTCCCTGCCAGCCCAAGTCTTTCTATGATATGATTCAATAATATACCTGGGAGGCTGTCTGGAATTGTTTGAATCTATATCACTCTGCTGAAAACAAGCAAACAAAGAAAAAACCTAGCACTGCTCACTTTAAAGCTGATCAGAGGTGACAGTCTTCTCCACAAATACATCTCCTACAACTGTGTCTGAACTTTCAGCTAAGAAAGCCATTTCTCTTTGAATATCCATAATCCTCTGAAAGACAGCAGGATTGTACATAGCACGGAACTTATCCTCCGTGGCCATGGTATGACAGAAAATGCCTGGAGTGAATCATTTTCCCAACACGCTTGCCTTCAACTCAGTATGAGTTAAATTAATTAACTTTCCTTTTTCATTACTACATTTGTTCACTGTCCCATCTGATTGTAACCTAGGTAAAATAGGAATCAATTTATGACTTCAGATGACATCACTTTCCTCAAGAGAAGAAAGCATGCAACAGTTTGGATGATTGCATCAGCAACTGCATCCAACTGTGATGCAGCACTTTGCCACACTAGCCAAGTTGCATTTATATTTTCCATAGAAAATTTACTTTTCCCTCAGTGCATTTTTGTCATTAAGATCTGCACTACGTCATTTTATCAGCCTCAGGTTTTATGAAGATAACATTGCAAGTGCAGCTGTTGTTGACACAGATGGTGTCTTCCTTACCTTTTAATACTGATTTTCTTGAATATAAAGACAATAATCAGAATCGTAATGGTTTTAAAGCTTTCTTACCAAATCCAGTTAATGTTTATCCATTTGCAATTTCAAGTATTAAAACAGGATGATGCTTTGATTTTTACTATTAAAAAAAAAAAAAGCCTTGGCACTTATGTACATCTGCAGACCTCATCGTTTGCATCATTGCAGAAAGCTGCTGAGCGTGAGCAATTTCTTGAAATAAGAAGTT